TGTGTGTGTGTGTGTGTGTGTGTGTGTGTGTGTGTGTGTGTGTTTGTATGTAAACTATGATCCATAACTCCCCATGGTGACCACATGGCCTGGTCACCATGAGACTGGACTGCCACTGAGTGCCTGTGTGCCTGTGTGTGTGTGAGTGTGTGTGTGTTGGCACAGTGGGTTGTGAGGTCATGATGGGAAACTTGCTTCCATCTGGAAGCAGCCTATGAGTGTGTCAGCAGCACTTTGGTTTGTGTCAGCACAGATCATAGCTCTCTTTATTGAGATGGATAGGAAATCTGTACATAGATTTCCTCTTCCTCTCTTCCCAAAATGAACATAATTTGCTGTCATATCGATGAGGGATACAGATACAGATTTTACAGAGGGTGATGCTGATTCTCAGCCCTCAGCACCTCGTTGCTCCTTTGCCTATTTTAATCTTGTGATTTTGGTGGTTTAATAGCTGTTTATTTGTTGAGTAACAAGATGAAAATATTCATCACAAGAACATTAAAAACACAGAAAAAGGCAAACAGGGATTGCATGTCCAGTGGGATAAAAAAGTAGAAAATCGGTGTAATTTAGGATTCATTGTGTACATTTGTCTAATTATTGGAAATCAAAGTATCTTCTTTTTAAACCAATATTGGCATGCTTTGATCTCAAATCTGAATTGACAAAATGTTTGGTTTTTATAATCTCTGGGAACAGACAAACACTGGCAATTTACAATTTTTAACAATAGCTTCCTGGATGTAATGGTAGCTTTAGCCAATATAGTTGGAATGCGAGAATATGGCATTTAATGTAAAAGTGATCAGCAGAAAAGCACAATACAGTCAATTTTCAACCATTACTCCTCCTACAGTGGCTTTATCCTGATGTTGAAATACCTTTGTTTCACAATTAAAAGGAGGTTGAATTAGTGTTTAAAGCTGAGGATACTTCTGGATCTATGCATGGCTAAAGAAGAAACCACAGAAAGAGACCACGGCCACAGATACAACGTGACCTCGACATATGGAGGCTGGCCTCTCTGGGGAAAAACAAGGGTGGTTGGTTTGGGGTATTAGGTATTTCATAACAGCAGGAGGGTCTTTCATAAAGAGGAGCTTAATCAGCTATCATCATTTTCCTTGTGAATCCATTCGCCCTGAGATGTTTAGTCTTTCCTTCTCATTGTTGCAGGTGCTCGCTTATGTGTTTCCGTTTTAAAAATCTTATTATTGATGAGGGTTACTTCCTCAATATTGACAGGCATACCTTTTTACACTCTTGGGATTTCCTTGACTTTATTAACCAGGTCTACTGGGGATTTATTAACTTATGTAGTTTTTTCTATTTCACATCTCCCACCGTAATGCTCTTTTATTGGGGTGCATTTTTAATGTTGAGCTTTAACCTTAAACCAACTTAGATTTTTACTTCTTCCTCCAGTATAATTCTTAGTGGTTGTTCTTCTCATGACGAGTTAACTTTAGTTTCAGAATGCTATGTCACAAAAGTAACCAGAACTCGAGTTGCAGTGAAATAAGGGGAATAGGTTTTGCCTTTTTTGTATCTTTTGCCGACCTGTTGTTTACCATTCGAATAATCTGATAAGAGGTTAATCGATGACAATGTATCTGTCCAAGATAAGAGTGGAAGGATAAAATGTGATTGTTATGTAACTCAGAGTACCGTCTGAGCTCTGCTGACATTATCCTCAGAGGATCGGATGATTATTCTGACGTGGACCTATCGGATTTCAGGGTTCCATCTTGATTAGTGATGAAGACTGTAATCATGCAACCAATTAGAAAGTGAGTATTCACGTTTTACTGACTGAATATGGTGGCACTCACAATATTCCAAGTCAGTTTATGGTCACTAATAGTGAACACACTTTAAAGTTGCAAGATTGTTGACCTTAAATCATACAATTTGAATAAACCATAGGACCCAGTAAGGCTGCTGTTTGATTTTTTTACATGCTGTATTAACCTGCTGCATGTTCTGCAGGTGACGCCAACCTGCTGCAGCCGGGTGTGATGTTGCTGGAGGACGTATTCGCAGTGAAAGTGAAGCGGCGGCGAGCAGCGGGCCAGCAGTCGGGCGGCCCCGTGCTCGGCATGGCTCTGTTCTGCTGCCGGAGGAGGGGGCAGAAACTGGAGGAGGACACGCTGCACCTGCACAACGCCTCTGCCGAGCACACACACACCTGGTATAACACGATAAAGGAGCTGCTCACAGGTAACACACACAGCCAGCTCATCGTGAATGTGAGCCGTGAGTGTCTGGACACTTTACAAATCGAACCAAAACTGTGTTCATAGTGAGATGGCATTTCGTGGCATGCTTACAGCCCCTCTGCGCATGAAATCCCTCATTCTGAAGGCGTCATTGAAAGTCCAAGCTGATTGTAAGTTTGGCTGTTTGTGTTACATAAGGTGGAACAATGGAAACATGAGTCATTGCTTATGTGGATGTCATCCAGTAAGATGATTATAATTTCGCACAGCCGAGCCATGACGTTATTAATAGCCATAGCGCCCCATCAAATAGATAGATGGAACCAGAATTCCTCTTTAATAAACATTTTTTTCCCCTAATGTGTATTTCCATTTAATTGACAGGTTATTTGAGATCATTTGGAATATTATTCATAGTATTAACCAGAAAAAAGATTACCATAATTGTAGTTAATGGTGGCTTCGAGGTGAAAAACACAACATTGGAAAAAACACAAGGGCAAAGCCAAATGTCTAAAAAAAAAAGGCACATTAACAAAACATCTCACAGAATGGAGATTTCAGACCTCTCCACCAAAGCCTGAAGGTATCCTCTGCCAACAAAAAACTCAACTCAACTTTAAAATTGAAACTTAGTCAATATTCACAAAACACTAAATAACACAACATTTTAGAGCTCATTTCTATTTTATTTTTTAAATCTTCTATTGCTGTTTTACTATGATGATACAATATTTTTTAGTTAAACGTTTTCCCATATGTTGTTATTCATGTCCATCATACAATGATTTTGACAGTCCTCACTAGATTCTGAAATGACTTAAAGACCAATTTTCAGCACACTTATCATGTTTCCTCTACTCTTATAGCAAGCCATTCAGGATCATAGATTATACACAAAAGTATTGGAAGTTTAGTTTCCGTCAAAAGTGCAAAAGATAGCAGGTAGTCACATCCTCAAAAATATTCCTGTGACTAATTACAAACATTCTCCACACTTTTTTAAATTAGAAAAAGTGATCTCAATCTCTTTTTTAAAAACAATTAACATCCAATCAAAGTCTGCTCTGGGAAATAAATTTTGAGTCAGTAATACTGCTGCCTTTAAGAGACACATTGGGCTATAAACATAGCTGAAAATGGCTTCCATCTATGATTAGCTAGTTGTTGAGCAGAAGCAATGTTAGCTGGTCTGATTATATTCTAATGTTTTCCATCGTTCAACACTCAGTCTAATGAATTGAGTCACAGTTACATCAGACAGAATTGTTAATCTGCTAATCCACAGGAACAGAGGATCTCAGATTACACACAGAGACACACACACACATACTGTATATGTTCAGCAATACTTACCAACAGGCTGTCAGCAGTTGAATGGTGTTGTCTGCCAGAGAGATTACTCATTGAAATACTTTCTGCTTGAAAATCTATCTGAAAATATGTGTGCATCCAGCTAATTTTTTGTGCATTAAAAAAAGGTATGTGTATGATCATTACATGTATTGAAAAAAATAATTATTTGCTTTTTGTGCCACCACAATAAATTTTTTTACAGAACTAAAACTTTGACTTTTTGTTTAAAAGTGGGCCATTACACAACAAAACTGAAAGCCTTCTCTAAAAAAGATGACTGAATTTACAATTCTTGGTTTCCAAAGTAATTGTAAAGCTGAAATAGTGAAAATGCAATGAAAGCAAACCTTTAAGATTTGCAAACAGGCTTACTGGATCCACACTTTAGATATAGTGAAGTCCTAAAGAACATTTTCAATTGTTTAGTTTTTTTTTCTTCTAAGAAACAACATTTTATTTTTAAGACCATCTGGACATTAATATGGACCATTTAGCATTTAGAATTATACTTATCCCCCCACAAAAAACAGCCTTTCTGTTTGATGAGTCAGTTTTTTTCTACTGGTCAATATTTTTAACTTAACGCATTTGTAAAAATACACTGAATGCACTTTTTACTGCTTTCAGCAAGAGCAACATTTAGTCAGGTGAATCAACGCTGCACAAACGTCATTCAAGGCCAAGTCTAGCTAAACATTTTTTTGGTAATAAGGCAACTGCCTGAAAACATCCTCAGAAATAGGGCCACTTGGCCAGCAGCAGCCACCTGCTGTCAGGCTCCTTTTAATGAAGTCCTGGATGTTGCTGCAGACTGACGTTCCCAGGCGCTGGTTTCCCAGGTGCACTGTAGTGGGCGGTTCCTGGCTGACAGTTAACGCACAATAGAAATGTTGGAGCGCTGTGTTTATGGATTTATTTCACAAGAGCGCACTTTACATTTTCCCTCTGCTCTGTTTGTCCAGCAATATTAGCCCCAGACAGAGATATTACACGTTTTTGTTCAACGAGGAGGTCAGAGTTGACACCCAGGCTACCGTCGCTCTTTCACCATGGCATTAGTCTGACATGTTATCGCTGGTCACCTGTCTGTCTGTGCGTCTGTCTGTCCATCAAACCAGATTACCCATGAGGCCCTGCAGCAAAGTCACAACTTCTTCAAGAGCGCGTCTTTGGCCAGAAACCTCACGCCCGTAAATGGCTCACAGGTTGTGTCAGCTTGAGTGGTCACACTGCACATCAAACTGCGGTGGCCTTTGTGACTTTGCACACCATGGTGGAGGGGTGCGTGTGTGTGTGTGTGAGTGTGTGAGTGCATGTGTGTGAAAGATAAACAAAGTCAGTTGCTTCGCTGCTGTGTGGACATTAAGCCTATTTTCCAGGCAGAGGTCAGCGTGAAAAGCGTATTGTTTCCTGAATCGCGGTGTCGAAGAGCAGGCAGTCTCGCCACTGCCGACGCCACCACCACCACTCCTCAACCTTTGGGTTTGAACATTCAGCCGCACAATGGTGCGCGGAGAGCACTCACTTCCTGTTTCCCGAGCGTTATTCTGTGGCGTTGGCTGTGCGAGGCAGCTGCAGAATGCTGCGAGGAACATGAATAGCAGTCAGAGTTACAAAAGCCAAGCACTTCTGGTGCATTGAGACCATTTCAATGCATGCGGTCAAATGGCTGCAGGACACATTGCAGTTGTTTAACAGCTCAACACACTGACAGGCTGCAAGTGGCCTTGAAACTCTCAGGGCCGCCAAACAGAGCTCACCAAGGCCAACAGGTGCCATCCACAGTGCTCTTGGGTGAATTGTCTAATTTTTGCTTTCTTGTATCACTAATCTTTGACATAACTTTATGTCTGTGCCTGTGACATTTTTCTTATATGCCATCATTTTGACACATTTTTGTGTGAAGGATAAAAATTTAAATTGGGGAGATTTCATGCTTGTTTTCAATTTCGAGCAGTTTACGCAAACCTCTCTCTGTTCAATGATTTGGTGAGAAGCAGGCAGCACTCTTGTGCAGTCATATGTGCATGTACAATGATCTCTGATATGGAGAGATGATAGTTTTTGTGGATTTACTGATTAGTCTATAGATTGGAGGGAAAAAAGCATGTCACAATGCCCCTTTGTTCTTCAGTTTTTTTATTTACAATAACAAACCATCCCAAATCTAATAATCCGTTCACAATGATGAACAAATTAAATTAGAGAACATAGAGCAGTTTTGTTCCTGAAAAAAAAAGTTTGATGACAACATTTTATTACATTATCATCTATATATTATCATTTATCAATAGTTGGCTTGTTTTATCTATTTGGATTGTCTCGGTTTAAAATGATTCCATTGGCAGCAAAAACTTTTTATCTTTTGGTTTGTTTTTTTCCATTAGAATTATACGGCGATGTCTCTTTAAATGACTTTATGACTCTTTCTGTGAGTATGTTCGTATGCAGCCGTGTGTTGAATATTAACTTCGGTGTCTCTAAAGCAGAGTGTATCCATAGAAACTCAATGAGAGCTGGCTTCCTATTTCTCTTCCTCTCCTTGATATCAGTTTGATTGCTTTATTAGTTTGTCAGAAACAAATGTAAATTCGCAGCTCAATGATGGTCAAACACTTGGGCACTCCCCCACACGAGAAATATCAATCCTGTGTGTCTCTTACACCCACTGACTAAAAGCAGCATTTAGGTCGTGTGTCACAAAATAACACGGTAAACTATGATCACAAAGCTTTTACTCTTTGATGAATTTTTCTTTCTGGAGGTTAGCATTGAACACATTGTCCCTTAGCTGAGAGCCTGGCTGTAGACACCTAGAAGCCAAAGAATTTTTCACCACTGTTCAGGCTTTAGGCCTGGGTAATAAAAATCTGGTCATGTTGCTCTTGGTGTGACTGTGAGTTTCCCAGATATTTATGATTGTAAGGACTGAACATACTGACTACGAATCAGGTCTAGATAAATTAAGATGTTCTTTTTAAAGAAAATACCCCAAAAAAAGACACGTAGCTGAAAAAAGCAAAACACATACTTGCTTTCTAGGAAGAGTATCTGTCCTCTCACTAAAGCCTGGGAAGCTTTAGTAAATCCCTAGTAAATCTAAGTCTTTTTAACCTGTTGAACCAATAAAAACTCCATAACTTTTAACTGCTTCAATGGCTGCACAATATATTTTCAATTTGTGGTCAAATGAAATGTTGAGAATTGTTTTGAGGTCTGGGGATATATTAATGCAAAGCAACAATCAAAAAAATACTTTTGCCTGGTACTTGGTCTTTTTTTCTGATACTGAATCAACAAGGTCAATATTTGCAGTAAGGCGGTGGTGATAGTGCATCCTTACTTAGAAGCTGTACAAAAGAGGGACAAAACAGTAGTTAGAATATGTTCTATTATTTGGTTTTGAAAATAAAACATAACGAAAACTAGTTTTGCTGAGAGAAAAAAGAGAAACAACTAAATGATTAACTTTGCTTTAAAGTCCCAAATTATGGCCTGTCAACCTGTTGTGGCCATTAAGTGAACAATTTATTGCATAAAGGCTTAAATGTTGTCACTGACCTGAGCTGGAATCTGTTTTTGTCAACAACACTCAGCAGTCCGGCCATAGGTCCTCTGTCGGAAACTTAACACTCATCTTGGACAACGCCGGGATTGTTTACCATGGTAACATGTCAGCAGCTCCAAAGCAACCAGCTACTGATCGAGACAGGGAGATGATCTGATGGATATTTGACCTCTTTGCATAGATGTGTCTTTCTGACTTTCTTTTAAAAAACATGTCAACAAACCGAATGACGCCATCCCCTGTGAGACTTTGTTTTCCAAATAGAGAGACACGCTTAGGTCCCGTTCCGCGCAAGATTATTTTTCTTGAGAGAAGTCCTTTAGAACTGATGTTAATCTATGGGTTTGAAATGTTGCAGCCATTAAAAAGTAAAGGATGTATCTCAATACACCAAAATGTCCAACAAGCTGGGGGTTCCTGCAGTCTAAACAAGACTAAAATGTCAAAGATTAATATTTATGAAGCTTAAAAATACATATCTCCTCTAATGCTGACTGTAAACATAGCTGATAAAGGTCTGAGACACAATGTTAATCAAGTGCAGGTCTCCTGTGATGGCCTAAATATTTACACCTTTTTGCTCCTTTACTACATAAATTTGAATAGAATTTTACACTTTCCTCTCATCTATATCTTGAAAAGTTTTTGCTTGACGTGTGTTACACACTTCTGTCATCTCTGATGTTTATTACAAACATAAATTCAAAATAGTAAATGAACTAAAACTCCATAAATTCACTTATCTGGTGAAAGGAATAAGGAACAGACAAAAAATGTTTGACTGTTAGGATGCTCGTACATTATGTTTAACAATTTACTGAGGACGTGTGGCATTTGGAATTGTATCAATCACAAGATCATACACAAAGTGGCAAGATCTTTTGAATGTCTCAACTTTTTGGTGGTTTATTCCGATTGGAAGAACTTAGATGAGGGATAGAAATGCAAAGTTCCTGAATTCACTAATTGAAGTAATATAACGCGTTATATGAAGCGCAAGTAATTACCTCCATGTGAAATTTTTACAGATTGTTAGGTAAGTTATGTTCAGTAAAAATCAAGTTTATCATAATGTATGGTATGTTAATTCTGTATAACTGCTGCAATAGAGGGTACAGCCCACACACAGCAACGGGATTTTAAAGAAAACACAGAGAAAACCTGAAATCTGCCTTTGTTAAACAACAATACCATGTATGCTTTTAATTTTTTTCAGACTTCAAATTGATCTTATTGCTTTTTCAGATGATATAGGAAGATATATTTATATATAGGTTTTAAAAAATGTAAGGAAAAAATAGAACATTCATTGGTATTAATTCAGATTGATACGAAAGACGTGTTTTTGTTAATGGCAGAAACTGGCATAATGTTGGCTTGGTCGGTGACAGTGGGATGAAGCATCTTGAAGTGGTAGGGGTCCGGTGGAGAAAAGGGTGGTGGAGGTGTCGGGTGGCTCTTCACAGGATCTCCGGAGGGGCAGGTCAGAACTGTGGGGTGGAGCGTTGGTAGGAGGTTCACTTTGTGTGTGCAAGTGGGGTCATTAACAGGACGAGGTCACGGCCTTTTGGGAACAGATTATAGTCATGAGCTGGATAATGGAGTTGGTGTGTGTGTATTGATCTGAGAGAGTCTATGGGGATTTATAATGCGGTCTCTAAATCTGCCTAATGATGTGCTGTAAAGGGGGGTCGATGTGTGTGCTTTACAGTTCATACTATGAACACACACACATCAACCGAAGTTTGATAGGAAGGATATTTTTAAACCGGTTTAATCTAACAGGCCTTATTCACCCCAGTTGTGTGCAGATGTGTGCTCATTTATTCCCCTCTTTACACTGAAACTGATTTTAGACATGTTGATTTAAGAGAAAAATTAGTTCACATATTGGACTTTAAAACATTAGACAATTGAACAATGTTATGTTGGATATGACAACAGCATCCTGTTGGCCTTTGATATCTTTGTTGAAAATTAATTAAATTTTTAATTAGTTAGCTCATAACCATTTGAACTGGGGTATTTATAACAAAACAGAGTAAAGAATCTTTGAGAGTGACTAATAATGTAAAACTTACATTGTTTGTGGAATGATATAAATAAAAAAAGCACTAAATCCTCACATTTCTGAGCCTGGAGCCAGAATAAATTTTATTGTTTCACCAAATGATTTAAATGTTGTTAACAAAAGAAAAAGAGATTTGATAAATCCTATTTTTATGCCATTATCAAAATTAAAGGAATTCAAAAGATGTAGTCACATCTAAATACAATCTTTTGACTAATGAGAAGCTAAATGTAACGCAATGAAAATAAAGCAGCCTTAAACTTGACTGAAATAATGAAAATGATGACTTTTTATGGGAAGAGCCAGATCTCTTCCACGATAAAAAGGTCTGTAGTGAAGCATCTAATTTTGGACTCTTTTGAGAAGAAATTAATTTGCCTGTGTCGCCTAGTGCTTGCTCATGGTGGGAATTGTTGGGTTTCTGTAATTTTCTTCAGAGTAGGGTCTGACCTGCTCTGCTTGTAAAGCGCTGTGAGACAACTGTTGTTGTGATGTGGCGCTATATAAATAAAATTGAATTGAATTGAATTGAATTGAATTATCATACCAACCTAATGGAGCTTTTTATCAGTCCTTCTGTCCATCTCAGTGACCATTGCAAGTGAATTACTTCGTGTGGATATGTACATCTGGCTTTAGCAAATATTTTTGCGTCTGAACTATGACTTTATGTCACTGCCACAAATAACATACATAATCAACAATACATAATCTTCCCATTTTCGGCATACCGTTTTAGCGTTTGAGACCCAAAGGGTCCACAGATATGTTAGATCAAGGTCAACAACCCATCTTGTGATTAACCACATTGGTAACATTTCTCAGTTGTAAAAACTTTGACTTTTTGTGCCTAAAAAGGTTTTTCAAACTGGAGCCGTTCATAAGAAGGGGACCCGTTACCTATGGCTAGACAGTTAGATAGTTTAATGTCTTTACACAATAGTATAGGGTTCTGCATTTTTACGGAATAAAAAAATAAGTTATCTTACATTTACCTTAACCAAAGATTATTCGGTTTGAATATTAAAGATTCTATGATGTTCCAATTTTGGCTCAAAACATTAACCTGTGTTAATGAAATATTTCAATATTATTATTGAAAACAGTAAAATTGTCCATTTATCAAGATTTCTGTCCTGGTTTATCTTCCTAATGTCTTACTTGTGAAGGTTTTAGGTCTTTAGCTGTTTTGCTATCACCCTCTTTAGCCATAGAAGAGCAATTTGGGAGGAAGCATTGGTAATATAATACCCCCAAAAAGATTTAATTTGTCGCACAGAGGCTGGACATCCGTACCTTGACAGTTGGGATATGCCCCTCGGCTTTGGGCGGGGGCACGACTACCCCATTCCCCAAGACATGGCCCAGGAAGTTCGCAGAGGCTTGCATTGGGTGGCACTTCTTGGGACTCAGCTTCAGGTTGCGCTCCTTCAGCTGCCGGAAAATAACCTCTTGTCTCTGCAAAGCCTCCCTCCTCAGCAGATGCAAAGACAAGCACATCGTACACGTGGAGGCCAGACTATTGGAGAGCCCCTGTGGCATGCAGTGTAGTAAAAGCTGTATATTTGTTATCCTCTTCAGCCATGGGGACATTGTGAAAACCGGATGTAAGATCAATTGTGATAAAATACATATTCTCTCCCTAGGCAGTCAGACTGGTTGGGTAGAGGATGGGCATCCTTGAGGATTCTGGCATTCAACCACCAGAAATCAGTGCAGATAATCAGGGTTCCATAGTTTTTTAAACCATCCCTAACGGCCAAGCATACTCATTCACTGATTTTCGTATTATCCATTGCTCCTCCATTTCAGTTAGCACTTGGAATTTAAACTTGGAATTGGCAATCATCGGTGAGGGAACTATTTCATGTGTCAAAGCTTTGGGTTCTTGCAAGACATTTTCTCCAAGCATTCTTTGCTGAAGGTGCATGCCATATAGCCTGAGTCTAGCATTCCTTGACTGAGAATGTGCTTTAACACTATCATAGAACAGTTCATCCTGAGGCTCTACTTCACATAAGATTGTTCAAGTTCACTGTCACACTTGAAGGTAATTGAAACACGATCCACACATAATACATAACCTCATTTCTGGTACAGTGGTAACAGGCATGTACACACTCAAGCTGATAAAACAACCAGGGTTCGCTTGCCAGTTGCAAAGAAGGCGAATGGGATGCATCGCCACCTAAGAAAATGTGTGCAGAATTTGGTGAAATGTGGAGAGTGAAATGATTAATGCTCATGCTCAGGTCGAAATATTGCCGCGCACTACTTTAGCAACATCCTGGACAAAAAGTATGCCAATCTGGCAACATATTCAGAACACATCAGAATGGTGTATGGGTTTACATTCCAGCAAATATTTGACACTGTTTGACACTAAGTCTAGTTCAGCGTAATGGGATTTAATTGCAGACACCTGAGCTAAATTCTTAGCATATTAAATCAGACCGATGCACCGCAGAAACCCGGATGCTTTGTATGATGGCGCTGCTCATAATGGTGCGCGGTGATGTGTGTGCAGGGTTCAGCAGTCGTCCGAAGCGTCTAAAGGTCTTCATCAACCCCAGCAGCCATAAGAAAGAGGCCGTGCACATCTACAGAGAGCATGTGGCTCCTCTTTTCAAGATGGCCGACGTCCAGACCGACATCACAGGTCAGTTCGCGCACATGCATTTGCCGGTGCCCTGTTTTTATCCTCCTGCAGCAAATAAGGGGGAAAAAATGTGTTTATTACTTTTTTGTCGTCTGTAATGCAATAAAACGACATTTAAGTTTGATAGAACTGGTGCTTAGATTTTAATGTTGTTAAAGAGGCTGATATGAAATCTGTTTGAGTGTATGTGTGCCCACAGAGGTTCAAAGGTCAGAGATAATGGCACTTTTTGGTTGCTACCTGATACGGGGGGGTGGAGCTTAGCCCATCTGTTGTGACAGAGGGGCACAGCCTCACCTCCCTTCTTCTCTCCACTCCTCTCCTTCCATGGGCTTCCTCCACTACTCTCTCCTCTATTTTTTCTCCCCCTCTCCTCTCCTCTCATGGCTACTCTTCCTCTTCCTTCTCTCAGCAGATGGTATGATATCCGTTGTCCCACTTTCTTTTGGCAGCTATCAAACACACACTCGTGTACTTCTGACCACACACACGCATGAACACTTTATCTCTGTCCATCTCAATGTCTCTCCATCTGCTTACCTCTCCTTTTCCCCCGCTTTCGGTTTATACCTGTCTTTCTTGCTGTCTGTCTCTCCAGTAACCGAGAGGAAGGGCCATGCTCTCTCTGTGATGAAGGAATGCAAACTGGACGAATTTGATGGGTTAGTTTTTTTTCTCCTGTTTATTATCTCCCTCTTTGTTTTGACTAACCACGTACGCTTTTGGGCCTTTTTTGGAAAATAATTTCTTGTGGTTATGATATGTAACATTAAAGAAATAATCTGGTGCACATAATCATGTTGCACTAGTTTTACAGTAGGGATTAACTACAGCTTGATTTTCAGAGGAAGAAATGATCTCAATTAGTTTCACAAATTTAAAAGTATGCATGGTATCAACTTTACAAAAGGAGCCAAGTAAATAAAACACAACAAAACAAGACAGTGACTCAATTAGTATGTGTTTAATTTTCTTTATCCTTTTGATGGTGCGTGATATGAATGATTCAAATTCTTGCCAGAGAGGACATGATTTTAAGGTTAAAAACGTTACTATTGTGAGAAATAAATCCCTCAGGGAGACGACTGGTAGAAATCATGACCAATAAAACGGTATCTTTGCCTGAAAAAGTTGCATTGTTACAGTAGAAAATAGCATCTGTCGGGTTAAAGGTTAATTCAGTTTCAAGTTCCGGTGTTGACATCCAACGTAACACGTTTTAAGCCCTGACATTATCCGTCCAAAACTGTCCAAAGGGAACCCTGCAATCAGACAACAGTTTACTGTCAGAGGCTGACACTAAAGCACACTGACCCAGACTGATCCCACGTGCACACACGTGTGCACCCACGCACGCAAACAAACGGACATTTTCACAGGCAAAATAAAACGCACATAGCCAACGGGACTCACAATAAAGTGTAAAACATCAGTGGTGCTCTTCAAACAAATAACAACTGCTAGCGCACAAACACTCATCACGCTGTCATCACTCTACTTGTAATGGGCAGTGTGTGTGTGAGTTTGTGTGTGTGTGTGTGTTTGTCTCTGTGTGTGTAAGCAGCTTTTGTGCTCAGCCCTCATAAAGCTTAATGTGCTTAGAGAAGATTAGCTCAGCGTTGCAAAGCTAGCCTCTGAATGTGTGTATGTGCGTGCGTGTGTGTGTGTGTGTGTCTGTGGGGTGTGTGTGAGTGAGCTAGAGAGAGAAAGAGATGCTACACCGGTGAGGATTTGGTTGAAACCTACATTTGCCAATTAAACTGGCTGTCACCGTGGCGACCAGAGCTCCAGGTAATCCCATACACAAGAGAAGGAGGGGCGGGGCCTAACCAACGACCATTTGGAGCAAATAGATTCGGACGAAGAAGCCGCTCATTTTGTTTGAAGAGCCTCACAAGAAATACAAAGTCTCTCTCAGAATCATCCACCTACATTACACTTAAAAAAAATGACCAAACAATGACCAATGAGTGATACCAAAGGTAAACAAATCATTATACATACCTTTTCCATCATCAAAAATGTCTTAGTAGTACAGGATAACATATTTGATCTTTCTATTCATTTATACACCCAAAATTAGAGTTCACTCATTTAATTTAATATTTGATCTGAAACATGAAACTCAACACATGGAACATCTATACCTATGAAGTGTAAAGTCCCATAAATGTGAAGAGCTCACTCACAGTTTCAAAATAAATTCTTGCTCGTGCTTCACTCCATTTATCTCTTACAGTTCTTTCCTTGCCATACAGTTTTTGGAAGATCTAAAACTGAATAAATGTGAATTATTTTGAGTGAGTGGGTGCACAAATGGATCAACAAACACTCCCCACCCTCTATGTTCACATCATATTCCCACATCAGAATGTGTTCAGTCAGAGGCTTCTCCAGCTCCATTGACACACAAAGTGTTACATTAGGTTATTTATTCACCATAAGCAATGATAGCTGATGATTAAAGAATTAAAAAGCAACAACTGTAATGTTATCGTTTTGCTCTGTGGACAGTAAAGTCTTTATTGTCCTCATCCTCAAAAAAATTATTCGTAAAGTACAGAGTGAGTTTTTCTATTAGCTAACGTTGGTTGAAGACCAATAAAATTCACGAACAGATGAGAGGATTCGTCATTAGGATGTCCACCTCCACCTGCCTGTCCCCCTGCTCTGACGCTGGCCCCTGTCCACTGTTAGGGTGGTGTGTGTTGGCGGGGATGGGTCGGTGGCAGAGCTGTGCCACGCTCTGGTCCTCAGAGCTCAGCTGGATGCAAACTCTCCAGAAAAGCCAGTGAAATCAGTTCTGCCTCTCGGAATCGTGCCCGCTGGTAAGAGACCGGCCCACTGCATGGGAAGTGCTGAACGTAAAGGTATGCTTTCTGGTTGTTGTTTTGATGGGTTTGGATTTTTGCACAGGTTCTACAGATGTGGTTTCCTGCTCTGTTCATGGCGTGAGAGATCCTGTCACCGCAGCCCTTCACATCGTCCTGGGTACAGACTATTCCTTTTTCAATATTTTTTTTATTAGATCCTACTGGTCACATGGGTTCAGTCTCTCCTCAGTGTTAAATTCCAGTTTTTCAACATAGATTGACTGTATAATAGTATTTTAGCTAGCCACATGCAATGTATGTCAATTCAGTCAAAGTTGGTCATCAGAATCCATTAATCTAAACATTGTAGATTTATTGTCAGAGCACACAGGGAGTGTTCTTCTCGTTCTGATCTGGAGTTTCCTTCTTTCATATTCATTCATTCATTCATTCATCTCTATGTGTTCCTGCTCTGTAGTTGCATGGCCTCTGTGTGAAGTCTGGGTAAGGTGTAAAGTGCATCGAGGTTTAAGAGTTTAGGAGCTATCTGGTATGGGATCTGTTTTTCTTAAGTCTATAATCTGTAGCATGCGAGGCGTGGGGTGGACCTGCTCTTTCGACGCAGTAGAAGGATTTAGAATGTGGGCTGTTTTTGGCCTGCGCTCTGTTGTTTTGTGCTTCGTCTACGTGTCAGATATCTGTAGTTGGCAGCAATTGTTGGTGGATTATCTGAAATGTCATTTGTGCATGTGAGCATTTCCATAAACAAAAGTATGAATGTGTGTATAAAAGAATACATGTGGTTTCTTATATTTAAAAACGTTATGATATCCATATATTTTTTGGATCATTATAGTATGTTCAATATCAGCTGTTCTGCTCTCTAATGTGATTTCTGTGTATTTGACATCCAGGTGTTCTAATCTTTTGCCTATAATAGATCTATTAAATTATTAGATGTAGTTAAATGACCTGAAAGGGTCATTTAACTACATCAACTACAAATTGTGCAAAACTTCACTGAGACTGAGTGACTGTCCAACCTGCAGACAGACTGCATGGCGGGAACGTATCCAACAGATGTCCAACAGCAGGATCAGTTTCACTAAATCACCGGTTTACTTTGCTCACTACGCCCCCTTCTCCCCACTCAACCCTTCTGTGTTGAGGTGGTTTGTTATAACTAAATAATGCTTAAAGCACATATGTGATAAAAAAAAAGGACTAATACCCGAATAACTGATGATGTTTTAAGTTTCTTTGGTAGGAAGCTGTTCATGTCCTAACTTTGACTTTGCCATTAGCTTGGCATTGCTTAAAGACAAGCACCCCACTAGCTTTAAAAGTCACCAGTTAAAGGAAAGTTAACCAGTTAGACTTATTCATTAATGTGGTTTCCATTCTTGTGTTTTTATGCAGATTATGTTGCAGACGTTTTTCTATAGCGTGTAATAAGGGCTGCGAAGAAATTCATTGTATACTAACTATTCTTTATATTAATGAATCAATCAAATGTTGTCAGTATCAGTAATGTGTCATGTGGGTTAACTAAATCTATTGCATCTTATTTCATCTGTAGGGATTAATAAGATTATTTAGATTAACATTCTGAAGAAAGTTGTGCTATGTTTGGATTTTTTACTAATCTTGACCATCTGACATTGGAGACATTGCTTGCCCAAATCATTAAGAGTTTCTTTTATCTAAAAATCAGCGAGACGTTTGGAATATAAATACCAATTTTGTTGTGTTATCATCTCATACAGAAAGCTGTGAATATTATACCATAGAAATATTTAGTGTCCATCCATACAGCAGCTTTCTTCACTTCTCACTAAAAGCATGTTGCAACCCTTTCTACAGAGAACGTCCTCAGACTCTTGGCATAATAATCAGAAATCAGCCATTGTTTTTCTTTTATTGGTGATTATGAGCTACCGCTACCGTTTCCCATGATGTGTTTTGCATGTAAGTCCATCATGAGACGAACACAGCGGCACGGTGCATTCAAATTGCTACAGAGCTCATATTTGTGTTGAGAGGAAAATGTTTTTTTCCTTTTTTTGACCCTTCTGTCAAGGGTTATGGCACCAAACAGTACAACGCCAAACTTTTTTAATTTAATCTTTTCCAGACACACACATTTCATTGCCTCTTGTAGAAACGCTGCATTTTCAGGTGAGAAAGTCAGAGTTTTTGTCAGAACTGAGAGACAAAAATGAAAATAAAAAAAAATGTCCTTGCTTTTTTGGGCGTGTTTTGACTTGTTTCAATTAGAAATGTCAGACATGTCAATTCCAAAGTGGAGTTACTCCACATATATTTCTCCTGCGGTTGTCCTTTTACTTCTCTTGCCTAAACAATCCGGATACCGGTTGTCATTCGCCGACGGCGAATAAAGGAAAGGACTGAATTTTTGGTTGGGTCTCTGAGAAGTGCTTTAGGTTTGATCTCAGTGACACACTGACTGTCTCAGCTTTAATCCCACACAACACGGAGAGCCACGCAGACAGCCTGCCATATGGTGAGGAAATCAGATTCAGCTCCGAGAGACAGACAGACAGACAGAGGGACAGACAGACAGGTGGAGAGACGGTGCAGTTTAGTAGGTTAGAGCAGGTATGAGGCCAGATGGCATGCTGAATTCGTGTGTGGCGCCGAGTGTTTGACACTTCATCTGTCTAGGAGCTGATCAAGCATCTTCCTTAATGTTCTCGATGGGGAAATTGAGTTGTTCTTAATTCTGTTTGCTATTACAGTTCATGCTGGATTCACTGGATGTGGGAAAAAAGGAATTGTACAGTGTTAACTACTCATATGTTTAGCATAACTGGGAAACAGTTTTTGATTGGAAATAAGATTGAATCTTTAATGAATACAAAACCATTAACTATGATTTTCAGATCACAGCAGCAGCAGTTCTTGTGACAAGTGTGGTTTATCCATAAAAATGTGAATAAGAAATAATGATATAAGAACGATAATTAGTTTGATATATTTCTTTCTTTGTTTTCTCTTAACATAACTCAGCTATTTTTGGTCAGTACACTGTAGCAAGCTCACAAGGTTAAAGTTGTGGTTTTTCAATCATGGAATAGAATCTAATTTAAAATTTTGTGTTTTTTTTGTAGGATCAGAGATTATATATACAGCCTCTGGAACTTTTATTTCCAACATTACAGAAGTAACTACTACTTGATTTGATGTATGTTTGATTTTTCTGTCTGATTAAGGGCTTTTTCCTGATTTACTTCCCAAACATGTCTCATCGGTGCAATGTGATGCTGATTGGAGACACTGAAAGCTGTAAATATTTGCTACTACATTTGAAACCTTTAATCTAAATTACACAGTGATTGATAAAAGGAATCGTAATGCCCATAATTACTTCCACACATGATCACACAAACTGTACATCCTTAATCCGACAAACAATAACAACCAGAAACTTTTCCGTCTCCTTTATTAAGGATGATGAACGGACATGTGTGACATTACGGGGCCTTTTTCTTACATTTGGAATGTCCTTCTCTTGTGCCACTCATGTGGTGGCCACTTTAATCTTTAATGAATACTGGTGAATAGTTGCATTTTGGATCATAGATTGACGGCTGGTGGTTACATCCACAGAGATGGTAAGAACACCTCTCACCTGTGCGCAGGTCACCTGCAGCAGGTGGACATGTGCAGCTTCACGGCTCTCGGCCAGTTGGTCCGTTTCGGGTTCTCCGCCATGTTCGGCTTCGGTGGACGGACCTTAGCGCGTGCAGAGAAAAGGAGATGGATGCCATCATCACGCCGCAGAGAATATGCCCTGGTGAAGACGCTGGCCAGGCTCAGGTGACGTTCATGTGCTTGTTTTTTTAATAATACAGGGACGAATGTTTTCGAATATATAGCTTTTTTTGCCATTTTGATCTGAGAGCTTCCCTTTTATGCCCTTGCAGGCCAGAGGACTGTCAGCTGTCTTATTTACCAGCGAAGAAGTCAAACTGCAGTTTGTTTGGCCCTCGGTGAGAGACACACACGAGCAGACTGTCTGAATGTAAAACAAAACAGAAAGTATGCAGCTTAATCATTTGTTTGACTTCGTGTGAACTCTTACCAGTCTCCTGTGTTCCTTACAGTCACTTTTTATTAGCCAAAATAGAACAAAAATTAAAACAAAATATATATATATTCCACGTTTTTCTTTACTGGAACGAGTAACTGTCTTGCTCCCCTTCTGAAGAAAAAAAACAAAAACAAGTTAACTTTAAAAGAATTTGTTCCAAGAATAATTAAGGTTTGACTCATGAAATTCTGAATCCCCCCTCAGGAGATGCATGTGGAACAGTTGTCTAAATGTTTGAAAAGGTAAAAGAAAAAAATGAGTTGCTTAGTTTACCTGCCAGAAGATACATGAACAAAGCTGTTTTAGTTGTACCGGAAGAAGGGTTGCTTTTATTACTGCTTAAAACAGTTTGATAGTGGGTATAACACACTTTTTCATTAATCTTTGCTTTCAGAGACCAGGATCAAGACCAGGACCCAGAGCCGGGTGAGAGGAACTGGCCTGACTTCAGGTGAACTCCTCAAGAGCTTATTTTGATTATTTCAATCTTTTTCTGTTGCTGTTTCTTCTTTTCGGATCGACCATTGCAGAGGGGAAGGAGTCTTGGACAACGAACCGGGGACAATACCTGAGCATCAGCGTCATGTCCGTCCCTTGCTTGAGTCCACACGTACCTCGAGGGCTGGCTCCAAACACCAGGTAACACACCACCGTCCTCCGAGACGTGGCGCTGACAGCCAGTCACGCTGCGGGCTCACCGCGATGCCTCTGCACTTCCTGTTTGTGACAGCTTGGCCAATGGCAGCGCTTCACTGATCGCGGTGAGCAACGCGTCCAGGTCGGATTTCATCAAACACCTGAAGAGATACGGCAGCTCTAGCGGACAGGTGAGATTTTGCCCTAACTTCACAGGAATGAATACAACCTAGGTTAAATTAATTTGAAAGTATATTTTAACACATTCCCTGCCTTGTCAGAAATAATCTCACTGGTACTAATTTGCAGTCAAAAGATATCACACTGTCAAAATTTCAAAAATGAGTTGCTCTCACATAAAACAGGATTTTTGTGTTACTTCAAAGTAATGATTCAAAACTAGGTTAAACTGCTTTGTAAGTGTTTTTTACACATTCCCTGCCTTGTCAGACAAAATCTCACTGGTACTAACTTATGTATCGGTGAGCATGTTTCAAACCAACCTGCAAACAACATTAATTCTGCATCATAATTAAAGTAAGAGAGGTGTCTATCACATAAAAAGTAAAATAAATTTAAAAAAAAAATTTTTTAAACCTGCTGCAGAGTAGATCAAAACAGTCCTGGGTTATCTTCCATCAGTACCCCTCAAACCTCTTGACATGTCTTTGTTCACATACCCTGATTTTGGTGTTAAATATCTACAAAATTGGCATAAAACAGTGATATCTTTCGCTCAAAAATACGAACGGGACAATCTAGCCGAGTCACACTGTGAGTGCCTCAGTTAGCAAAAAAAGAGTAGCTTATTTTTAGCTGAAAAACAGATGACTGAATTCAGGAACACTTAAACTACAGCAGCTGGCTCAGGTAAAAAAAAAAAAGAAAAGAGTTGCCCGTTAAAGATGGTACACTGAGTGGAGGCAGCCATTAAGTGGGGCCATCCAGTTGACCGGTTGTCTCACACTGATCCTCCTCTCCCTTAAAAAAAAAAAAAAAAAAGAAGTCAGAGTGGATTAGCCTGGTTTTTGACGTGGACTAGTGTGGCTTGAGACACCACATACTAACCCACTTTCTATATATACTGGCAGCGAGCGGTTCACTGTCCTGCAGAGTAAACAGGCTGTTGACCGACTGAGCCTCATCCTGTTAGCTTCCGCTGTCACGGCAAACACGGCCATCTCAGGTGGAGCCGTGTGACCTCACGTCAAACAGGCGAGCAAACACACTTCACCTGCCCGGATTGACAGGTGAGGTGGGTTCGACAAACCTTTACTATCAGGGCCCTCAGGTGTTTTCCTGTGTGTCCTCGTACACTTCCTTTGAAAAATCGACAAAAAAAGAGACCTTTTTCACTGAAAACACACTATCTACCTTCTCTTTTGTCTTTATCAAAATTCCGGTCAATCTCTGTTCTGGTCACCTGACTCAAGAACCAAGTTCTCTGCAATAAGTGCTAAATATATCAACTAAGTGTGCGGGTGATAGCGATTGATCTGTTGAAAATATGCCAAAGGCCCATTCAGTGTTGGTCAAAATTTGAATTTTTCAATAATTTAAAAGCAAAAGCTGCAACTAATTACCACTGAAAAATTGCGTCTTGCAGGGATTAAAAAAAAATAAAGAAGCCACAGCAGAGAAGGTGACAGAGCGCGTAGTGGTCTCTGCTGCCCCCTGTTGGAGCCTCAGAGTTACAGCAGAACAGGGAAGGAGCTCAGACACTTGTTCAAGCTGCTTAATGAAGATCTTAAAAAGCCTCCCCGGCTTCCTGAGATTAGCGCTGACACACACTCACACACACACACGCACTTGTTTTTCCATCGTTTGTGGTGATTCACTCTTGACTTAATGCTTTCCCTGACCTCACCCGCTGTCCCTCTCAATCAGAGAATGATTCTTAAACCTCAGTCTAACCCTCACCATAGAGTTTTTCGCCATAAAATGCCTTTACCCCTTTAATTCCACGTTTCTCATTTTTTATACATAGGTTTTTAGACCTACTGCATCGCGTTGTGGATGTTTATAAAAAGAAAGAATACCTTTTTTAGTTAAAGATTAAAACATAATCAAATCGTACACAAAATCGTAATTATTTGCAAACATTTTTGTAACTTTAGCTTTTTAAAAACTTTTTGTTAGAGTTAAACAAACGCTTGTGTTTAAATTTTTTATTTCCTTGATATGTGCCCTTGTTTTTTGGCCTGTAGTCCCTAACGCATCCGGTTTGATGGTCTGATTACCCCTCTGCAGTTCAACTTCTCCTTCGTGGAGACGCATGACGTGTCGGCCGTGAGGATCCGGCCACACTCCCTGGTCAGCTGGTCTGAGGGGGAGAGCGAAGAGGAGGCCGACTCCAAAAGCACGCCCATCATCCCGTCAGAGGGGGGGGTCGCCTTTCCGTGGAACATCGACGGAGAGCTGGTGGAGATGGCCAACGAAGTGCTCATCAGGTGGGTCAGGCGGCTATTACCATCGAGCATCATCACAGCAAAAAGGAATCGATCACTCACCGGGGAGGAAAATATCAATTCAATTGATTATTGACTCATTTACTGAAGCACTAAAAATTCTATCCTTTACTTAAGTGATAAAATATTCCACCACCATTATGAATTATTATTATCTTGCAACTGCTTTTGTTTGATTTATATTTCTTTTCTTTTATTTACAAAATATGTCAGATTGATTTTTAATCAGTTCAGGCTGAAATCCCACAAATTTAGTTCTAATTGTTTGAAATTGGGTGCAGGTGTGAAGAAATGAAGAACCCAATCACGATGGATGCACTGTTAGTTAGTTATGTGAGCATTATGAGAAGACTAAATTTGGGTCCTTCAGATTTGGGTTTCAGCTGACAGATAGCCCCTGTCCAGAATGAATATTCTCTCACAAATGGTCATTTTAAAGCAAGGAATCTATAACTCTATCTAAGAAAAGTCATTTTGTGGACTGTACAGTTACTGTGAAGCAGTTTTATTTGCATTTTAATTCAAAACTCAGTGCACATCCCTTTGTGGCTTTTGTTTTTCACATGATTTAACACGTGGTCTGAATAAATCAGTTTTGATGTCATCTAGGCCTAATTGTAGCAACTCCAAGTAACATTTCACACACATGTATTGGACTCTCATCCCCAGATACTGCGGTTATAGACTGGATTTCTGTGCTAAATGCTACCCACACACGTCCAACAGATTCCGTCCTTGAAGATGCAGTAGAACCTGATACACAGTAGAGGAAACAAAGATAGCGGGCATCTGGTTTTAAAAAGCTTATATAGTCATTCTTCAATTCCTCTCCTATAGTGAGGAAAGGGGCCAAATATTGAAAACATTAACCTTATTAATTACCCTCTAAATTAACTTTAATATAGAAAACATTTTCTCAGGGTGCACTCATGAAATGAAAAGATGCAACATAATTTTGTATTTTTAAAAAGCCCCTTCATTTACCTGAGTGACATTTTTAACCACTTCATTCTGCATTTACTTTCAAGCCTCTATTTAAGCAACGTCTTTTCATTTGACAATTTATCTTATCAAGCTTTTTCGATTTTTTTTTTCTTTTATCCAGACGCCATTGTATCGATTATTTTCCCTTTTAAATTCTCCTTCCGCTTTCATGTCTTCTTTTACATTTTCTAACACACTTCAGCCCCGTTATGCAAATAAGGTAGACTGTGCTTTAAGGAGTCTTGCTGGCACCACTTATCACCTATTGTTCAGTCAACAAGAGGGCGACAGCCACGATTCTTTTGTCTGTAATTGAGAACAAGACCAGTGGTGGGATTCTAACGCCTGCTGTGAGGGGTGCCGTCTTCCAGCCCCAGACAAATAATCCTAAAATGAGCAGAGTAAACAAAAAGCCTTAACTTTTAAGGGCCCTCGTCTCCACTTTGCATCCCTCTGACAACCACAGGCTTTAAACTGGGAACCTGTGCGTGTGTGTGTGTGTGTGTGTGTGCTCAGGGTCCACCCGGGACTCATGACCCTGTACGGGGAGGAGGTGGAGGAGGCGGAGTCGGCCGTGTCCTGCAGCTGCATCTGAGACCGACGTGTGGCGCTGCCGCGTCCGACGCTCCTGCTGCCCGGCGAGGGCCGGCGGGACTTCACCACCGTCCCCGCCAGGGTCCTTCCGGTCTCCGTGTGGTTGTGGGATAGTGAGAGCGGAGAGAACAAGACGAACGGCATGAAAATATTTAACAGCTTCAAGAAAATGAAAAGCCAGCAACTGCATCACAGAGTCTAGGAAACTGTGCTTTATGATATATTGTCAGCCTCTAAAACCAGCTGATTTGCCACTATTTTATACTAAATGTTTACAATTTTTTCTTATGTGACAAGTTTCACTTTGGCAAGCTAATTCAAAAACTTCCCCAAATTTCTGTGTATATATATTTTTTATTTTTGCTGATTGTCTTGAATAATCTCTTGGTGATTTTTTGGGGCTTTTGATGTAAAATCCAGCCAGAATGCATACATTAGCAGTTTTATATTTGAATACTTCTTGACAATTTTTTAAAAATTTCTGATGATGTTTGTGGTTGTAATAATGGAAAAACAAACCGTTTAAATAGAAAATCTTTTAATAGAAACGTATTTGAAAAAGCAGTGTGACTCTCCAGTGCAGAACAAATCCCTATAAAAACAAAGTCATTTATTAAAACCCTAAAATAACTTCCCTGTGCGATGTGTATTTCTACTACTGTAACTAAAGGGCAGGTAGACGCTGTTTCAACAGTTTACATTCACAGAACGCAAGAAGTCAAAGCAGCAATCTGAACATATTTTCATAAAGGCCTCTTTCTTTCAGGTCTTTCATGCTGATTCAAGTAGTCGTCCATTATTCAACCCTGTGTCTGCCTTTTCTCCTACAGCTGAATCTGTTAAAGCATTTTCACACTGCATCTTAGTTCAAAATACAGGCACTGTATTTTGAAAAGCACCATATAAATTAAGGAAATTAGAATTTTCGTGGACCTCATCATTGTTCCTAAATGAAGCTTCCCGAGAGGCGGAGCTCCTCTGATTTGGTCCATCACAGTCGGATCGACTTCCTACTTTACTTACATCGTCCCAGGGATCGAGGATTGCTGTCCTTTAAATGTTTTGAGGCTTTTCGAAACAACCGAGTGTCGAAATCATTCGCCGTCATCAGTGTGGGTGAGATAAAAATTGAAAATAGGGATAAAATATGGAAATAATGTGCATTAAATCACTTAATTCTCATCAGCGAATTGTAACTTGAAGGTTTCTGATACATCAAACATGGCGCGGTCAGACCTTCAGAGTGAAACCAAAACAGATCATCAGGCGAGAAACAGGCGAGGGCCTACATTTCCCAGCATCCCCTGACTGGACACAACGGTTGTGTCTCGTTCTTTTACCTGTGCACCGTAAACCCTGGTCTGCTTCTGCCTGGGCAAACCGGTCGGGCTTACAGGTGTCACACGATGCCGTCCATCTGCCTCTAGGGCTTCTGGACGGACACACAAACGAAGGCTTTCCAGAAGTCAGAAGTGCGGTTTCCATCCCCTGAGATCACTTGATAGTCACTCTCTTAGGTTTGTTTCTTAGCAACAGTCATATCCACATTCCTGGAAATCCTCAAGAGCCCCCGATTGGTCCAGATTTGACGGCTTCAGATGCACCATCCATTCATTCATCCGTTGATTTTCAAAGTCTTTAAACTGCTCCGTTTTCTTTTTGTTTTGTTTTTTTTGTTGTTTTTTTTTGTCAAGGCACATCAGGCAAAATACTTTGGAAGGATACGGCCAGAATCCGGAACTCTGCAGCCTTCTGAGCGGGTGATGTTGAGCTGAAATACACAGCACCGTGCTCCAGGTGGAGCCGGTCAGTACTTACGGAGCCTCTTGTCCGAGCTGCTGTACAGTCCCGGCGTCATTCAGAGGTCATAGTTCACAGCCAGAGGCAGCGGTGGAGGTTAGGAAGTGCTTTCTCTGTTGTCCACTTTTGAAACATAGTCCCAGCTCTCTCTGTTTATCTTCTCCTTCTCCTCCATCTGGTAATGTCGCTTAAAGAAGCCGGCCTGTAAATCAGACGGGAAGTCAGAGGCTGGTCTGAAACCCATCAGACTGGAACGTGATCAGTTTATGAAACTCCAAATTTGTTAGCTTCACTCATTTCTAAGGTGTTGTAGGTTTTTGCATACCTAAAAATATTATGTATACATCTATATTTACATATATATATAAATAAAGATGTATTTACCTTCCACATACACCAGATGAGAGCGGCCAGGATTATCAATCCTACAATTAAACTGACAACAATGATGAAAATCTTCACAGCTGTTGATGGTTTCTGGGTGAAAACAGCTTCCACGTCCACCTAGAAATACACCACATGACACGATCTTATGTTAAAGAACCCCAAGGCTTTAAAGCTTCACTGATGTTCAAACAACGCAGAGGGAGCGATTCGTCTGCGGCTGGAATCGTCTGAAGCTCCGGTTCTGAGACTGGCTGCGTGTTTTACCTGTGCGGCGGGTTGGCCCTGGATCAGGACGGTGTGCGGGTCCTCTCTGGGGTGTGACATAACCGCCGTGCTCTCCAAAATCATGATGCCGTGACGACCCTGAGGCAGAGACAGATGTCAGCCAGGCTGAAACGGTAGTGTGAGCCATTTTCCACACAGAGACATATAAAGATTCGTCACAAGAACAAGCTCTAACCAGTCATGCTAGGCAAGTGGAACTACACGTATTAGTCAGTGGATAGAAAATCATCGCGTCTGAGACCCACCAAAAGCTGCCAGAAAAGGGTTCAGATTGGTGTAATGTTTTTTTTTATCTTTGGCAAAAATAAATCTGACCAGGCTTTTTTGAAAATAATTTCATTCCAATTTTGTTTCAGCACACAGAAGATAAAATAAACATGCCTCACCTTGACATTTGATGCTTTAAATGAATTTATAGATGACACATAACTCAACTTAAATGAACATTGATTGCCAAGTTTAGAATAACAAACAGGTTTTCCACAATTCAGGCGCACTAGTTATTAGCATGACCAAAACCCTAATCCTAGGGGTTAGGGCTCTTAATACTACCTATTGTAAAGATGGCTGACTTATTCTGTTCTGCAATCATACAAGTGATCAAATATGGCCTCTTGGCATATAAAGGGATTATAAGACAAGTCTGGGCCTGTGAACAGTGACATAGGACAACAAAAACTGGCCTTTTGTCGTGACTAAAATAACATTTCAAGATGTTTTGGATCGCTTTGGAAGAACTGGGGTGATCTTTAAAATTTGCATTTTTACATTTTTACACACAGAGTGGCATTACCAACAATTTATCTAATTTCTCCAAACCTCACGATCACATGTTGACTTCTCTGTGTTAATGAGATAATGATAAATCTAACCCTTTACAACTAAGACTTAACTTTTACATGTTAGCTTACGTCACATGAGGCAAATTTAAGGAGCTGTTCCTTAAGTATTTTAAGATAAACTCTAGCAAAAAAGCCCTGTAGTTACTGTACAATAAATGCATGTCTGCAGCAGAGAGGCTCCAAATCGAACTTTTGATCAAATCTATCCCCAAACCAGCAACCAGAACAGGAACTATTCCATTTTAGACTTTTTGTAAAAAGCCTATGAAGTCAGCTAAACAAGTTGCTAACTTCTTGGTAGAGATGAGAAGGCAAAAACACTGTGACTATTGAAAAAAAAAATTTGAATAGTACAAATGTGCTTTGAAGCCATGAAGCCTTTGTGAAGTTGTACCGGTTTAAAATCATTCAGATTATCTGGTTGTGTTTTCTGTCAGTGTTACCGGAGCTTGCAGCAGCACCGCGGGGTTTAGGCTCATCTCCAGCTGGATGGTAGCATCTCTCCCCACGTCCAGGTTACCGAGGCGACACACCAGCCGCTCGCACAGCACATCATCGCGGCTACAAAACTGCATACATGCAAAAAAAAAACGATTTATTCCCTGGAAGTCGGTGTGTGGTCTGAATACTGACTCCTTCTCCCACATCCCGCCCACAGACTTTAAGCATGTCTAATTCTTTATGCCACAGCACGTTGCTGCTATCCCACATATCATTTTTATGACTTTGATATAAAAACATACCCAATTCAACACGCATTTAATCACTTTAGTTTTATCAAGACATAAGGTTACGACATCTGACTGTATGCTCTTATATTTGTGCATTATTTCTGAGCAGGCGGTGGGGGATTCCCAGCACAGACTAATGGATTTCGTGAGTATATTGCGTCCTCTGTGCCCAATCGTGTTGAGTTTCTGCTCAGTTCCCTCAACCTTGTTCACTTGTAAAACCAATAGCAGTCAGAATTAGTCAGCCCGATCGGCCGTTTCTGAATGTGTTCCTGTCAAAACCGCAAAAGTGAAAAAAGAAAAACCACATCTGCGTTGGATCTAATCCCCAAGCTGTCATTTCAAACAGGAATGCATCTTTTGATCCCTTTCTCAATCATTAAAAAAGATCTAAACATTTTTTGGGAAAAGAATGAATGAATGAATCAGTCACTTTACTTTTTTTATGTGATGACAGATGTTTGACCTAATGTTTGATAGCATTAGGAGATTATAGTGGATATACAACAAGTCAACCCGAATGTCATCGACACGACTTGTCCCAGCCACAGGGAAATAACTAATTTCTCAATAAGGAAATGTGGCAAATACCAGCAGAGGTATTCCCTTTTTGAAATGACTAACTCTACTTGACGTGGGTTGAGTTTTCCATATTACAGGGGCCCCATCTGTAAACAGCCAATCGGGTTGACTGTTTCTGAGCCTGTGATTATTTCAAATTGTTTGAACACATATCACAAAGTTTAGTGTTCATATCAAAGAGAACTGAGCAGAAAGGCGTGCAGCAATGAGCAAAGACGAGATTTGCGAGAGCATAGAAATCAAACTGAGAGGAAAATATGTTGCTGTGTCATCATAGGGAAGTGAAAACAGGACAATAAATTAAATGCGTGCTGAGTTGTTTTTCTTTGCACACTTTTTGATATTCTTTTGTGAAACTACTGTCCGCTTAAGACCCAACTAATACGCTCGCAGGATACATTTGTCCACATTCATCCCTACTGGCTAGGAAATCAGGCCCAAATTTAGCGCGGCGTGGCCGGATGCGTCGTCCCGCAGTGCTTTCTTAGGCTCTTTTTGGGACGTTTTCGTCTCTGTGTTTGCGTACCATTCTGCGGGTGGAGGTTGCCGAGAGGAAGAACACCAGCTGTTTGATGAAGGAGGCTTCAGGCACGTCGCAGTCCTCGATGGCTGAGGCGGTCCGGTCGCTGATAGAGCAGGCGCCGTGTGACGACTGTGGGGGTTAAAAGATTGAAAACGGAATGATTTACTCTTCCGCCTGCGCTCTGTCAGCTACAGCAGCTAACAAAATCCCAACTATTGTCGGCTTGGTGATGAACCACGGCACAGAGAATCCTATCGGCTTTACCTTCCAGTCGACCACCTTCAGCAGCCTGTGGGAATACGGCGCCAGGAACTTTGGTAGCATGATCTCAACCACCGTGTTAGCTGAGACGCTGGGGCCGGAGTTTAACACCTGCAAGCAGACGAAACGACAGGAAAACCAGAGCAGTTACACTACTTTAGGGTTTTAAAATGGCTGGCGTGTTGTAGCTGCCAGCTGGCTGCAGAGGAACAGGAACATGCAGATGTCCCTTGAAGATAAACTCAGTGACAAAGATGTGCTGTTTTAAGATGGGGTGGTCAAGGGCCATCGTAGAGGAGCAGGCAGAACAGGATGAACTCTTTTATGCATAGCGGTCACTGTCCTTGGCCATGTCCTTGTTTTTTTATGTTTCAAATGTTCAAAGGCCACTGAAGGGGACACTGGTGCATCATGCAATGAAAATTAAAAAATGTCCACAATAATATAACATTAAGAGGAGCTGAGATAGACTAAAAGGAGTTGAAGAGTGAGAAAAGGGATGAGACTGTAGTGAATATTAGAATAGGATGAGAGTTGCATGCAAAGTTGCAACAAATGTAAAAATATGTCACACTGTAACATGCAGTATTTCATCAGAGAAAAATCTTAAAATGTATGCTGTCCACTTGAGTGAACAACTGTGAAAATCCCAACTGAAATTGATCATAATTCATTTGCGAAAGCCCAAAAGAGTTTTATTCAGAATTCTAATGTACTTTTCCTGATTTTTTGTCTCATAGAGCTGCCTAATGTTGATGTTTTCTTTAAGCGTGGTTACAGTAGCTCTACAAACAGCAACATTGAGAAGCAGATACTCTGTCATTTATCCCGGGGACTTGCTAAAATTGTCCTTATAAAAGCTATTAAGTGTTTCATTAAAGCGGTTGGAGGAGGAATTGATGCGAGAGTCTTGGCAACCGGGCACCTGTTGCAGTGCATAGCTAACTAAATACGTTAAATTATGCCTGTAGAATTAAGCTTGACATGTCCTAAGGAGTGTAATTGTTTTTAATGGACACCTGAGATCAAACTTTTTTTGCATAGTTTGTACATTTTTTTTTACCTGTGCTAAGTTACTAACACAAACACATCTTCTTTGTGCTTGTTGCCATGGCCCTTAGCATGTAAACTGCCCAATTTCCTTTTCCGCTTTAGTCTCTTTAAATGGTGTATTTTGTTGTAACTATTGTTTGTAACTTTACTCTTTTGTTTGTAACTATTTTGTTGTAATGATTCAGCTCATTCACTCTATAAACTCTCTATAAACTAAAGCTTTCTAGGCTTATTAACACTTTGAGGTTTGCAGAAGTGCATAAAACATACAACAATACCTTGTAAGTGTAGTTGAATTTTTCAGGGAAGCAGTCCGCTGGAACCAAACCATCATCTCCAAGGACAAACGACGTAGGAGTCACAAAACTGCAAAGGTGAAGACGGAGAATGACAGTGGATACATTTAATAAAATAATGTTGTCATCTCCTCATTAAAAATGCATTTACAGTTTCACTTACTGCACTTCTAATCAATTTAATGATTTTTTCTTGAAGAAAAAAGAAATAATGAATAAATGATGTTATCATAAGTTTTATTTAGATTCTCCTTTGATTCATGACTAACCCATGGATGTTGACATTTACTCCATATTTGAGAGGAAGGGACAGTCTCATCACATTGTCATAGAGGTACTCCTCCTTCTCGTAGTTGTCACTGCAGAGAAACAGATTTAGTGCATCATCACACAGGTAATCTGAAAAGATCTCAGCTTTAACATTGCCTTTGACAAATAAAAATAGTCCCCCCAACAAACATTGTTTCTTGATATTTAAGGTCGTGTTGCAGCGAAATGTTTGCTTATTAATGCTTTCCGCACTTTCGAAAAAGTGTGAAAAAGAGGGCTTACCTGCTAGTGTTGATGTGAATCAGGATGTCACCAGGGGTGCTGTTCTGATTAACGTCAAACAGAAAGCTGATGTTCAGCTGCAGGGAGAAAGAAAAATTATTTTTCTTCTGTTTCATTTGAATCATTGACGGCTTAAAGCTCTGACTTCCTTTCTCCACTGCAGGTCACAATATCGACAATAGTTTGGATATTGGAAATTGGATTGCAAATTTGTGTTTCTGCCTTTGTCTTTTGCAATTTTTACTTGAAGAATGAAAAAAAGAGAATAAAAAGGCGCACTGGTTTTGACCTCCAGACTGTATGAGGGTCTTTTGCAGTTACCAGACAATGAACAATTATTTCTGTGTAAAATTCCTGGACTTTTGCTATTTATGCAGCAGTGATGTAAAAAAAAGTTGGACATGAAGAGATTCTGCAACTTTGCTGTTTCCTTTAATGTCAGAAACCATTGTGTTTTTGTTTTTTTCATTCTAAATAATTCTAATAAGCACATCCGTCCTGCCTTTCCTGCCAACTCAAGCAGCTACGAATTAACCACCTCTACAGTGGTACTTTCGCAGGGTTAGCTTCTTTTTTTTAAAAACTCTTTAGCTGGTAATTTAAACGCCCCATACTGCCCCCAATACCGACTCGGCAGCCGTGATAAAGCTTACTAGCTAAACGTGTGGGGTTAGCTGTTAGCTCAAAGTAGCACTATGCTGATTTGTAGCCTCACAGCACAGCTACTGTGCTTTTAGAGCTCCCAAATTGTTGTTATTCAAACATTTGAAATGGCAGGATGTGGTTCTCTCCGGATACTATGGCTTCCTCCCACCATCAAAAAACATGCACGTTAGGTTAATTGGACACTCCAAATGGCCCCTAGGAGTTACTGTGATTGTGTGTGGTTGTTTGTCTCTGTGTGGCCCTGTGATGGACTGGGGACCCGTCCAGGGTGTGCCCCGCCTCTTGAGAGCCCGTTGGGAATAAACGGTATAGAAAATGGATGGATGCACATCACTTGTGAGGCTTACCTGGGAGCGGGCTGGAAGGACGACGCTGGTGACGCTGCAGCCGACGCTCACCTCTGTAGAGTTGACCGCCTCTGTGACATCACAGCTGACCACATTGTCCTGCTGCTCACACAGACACACACAGGACATTTGTGCAGCTGATCAACAGTCTAAGTATGAGGTAGTTTCTCATGGTAATATATATTTGATTTGATTAAATATGTCCAAACAATAAAGTACTCTCTTTGGAATAAAAAAAACACGTCATCTTTTTAAAAAATGAATCAACAAACAGTTGATTTATATTTTTGTTTTGTTTTTTAAATAATACCTGTACAACCATAGTGGAGATGTTTCATTCTGAACTGAACATGTGATTTTCTGCCTTGTCTGAACGTGATATACTCACATTTTGCACCACTTTGATGTAGTGGATGTAGTTTGGGAACCGAAGGGTCAGCCGCGGCAGGAAGGCGTCGTCTCCAGAGTTCAGCAGCGACGTTTTCAGTTCGATGGTTTGTCCAGAGCCCAGCGGAAAGAACTTCTGCTGACTGATAAACAGGAGTCAATATATTATGTAGGTGTGAACACCCCGCCTTGCGTTTTATATATGACAACCTCGAAATGTGACGGTTATCATTACGTTCTTACTAACTCTGTCACAGCACAGGAAGCCTGATTGCATTGAGTTGTCTCTTTTGGAGACATAATGTAGAGAGACTCTTTGACAGTGTCTGTGGATGGTGTCCTTGTTTAAAGCGTTGCTCGTTGTAGCTTTGTGGCTACACAAAGGCCACAGTTTGTAGATTATTAGATCAGAACAAGGGCAATGGACTGCAGCTGTAGCCAGAAAATGGAAATAACTGAGCCCACAGCTAGTCTCCAATAATAGGTTAACTTCAATTAACTGCTGTGTTAAGCAAATCATAGCATGGCTGTGATAAACAGTATACTGGTCACTCACCACGAACAACACTTCTAGTTCAAAAAGACAAAGAAAAACAATGGTGTGCCACACATAAAATGAAAATAAATATTCCTTTCAAATGGGCACATTGTGGTTGTACTTTCTTGTAAGTGAGCACTTCCTGTGTTTACTCTCAAAACGCAGAAAAACCTGAAGAAGTTTAGCTCTTAGAGTCCCATCCCAGTGACGTCAGAAATGGCTTCAGTTGTTTTCCTATGCACTGATGTGAATAATCTAAACAACAACAACAACAAAAAGGCTGATGCCAACATAAGAGAAAATAAAATCTTACACAATAAAAGGACTAAAGGTTCGTAAAGTTTGCACAACGATGAAATGTAACTCTTATCTCTTAAAAGGTATCAGGATGAATGCAAATATTTACCTTTCTTATTCTCTCTTCACTGTTGTGGAATTTCATGTTTGTTTTTTGTGATGCATCATTCAACAACAATGTAAAAAAAACAGTGCAGCTCTGCTGAAACCAAGATAAAAGAAAATATGCCAACTAACATTGTAAATAATTCCCCCTCAGTGTGCCTGTAGCTAATTACAATCATGTGTTCTGAGGGAAAGAATCTCCTTGTGTTTTATCATTAGAGAG